ATATTATATTCAACTGATATCGATATCGTATCGTAGAGGTGAGAATAATGGTTTGTATTCAGTAGTAGTCTAGTTCAATTTAATAAAAGATATAGACTGGATTCGTGTACAAGTAAATAAGTTTTTTTGAAACTTTATATTTAAGGAAAAGTGCAATAACTCAACAACGCCGTAACCGAATTTCAAAAACCAAACATGAAATGATATCAGAATTTAACGTAGCATCTGAATATGTAATGATATACAGGGCGTTCTATTTTAAAAAATGGAATTTTGGTCTGTAGCACCTACACCAAACACCCTGTATATTTAAAAATTATATCAAAATATAGCTCTCATGAACTCCTAAAACTTTTGTATAAAACATTTTTGTGTATCTCCTTCAACAAACGAGATATTGCCTGTCACATAAAATGTGGGACACCCGGTATATCACAGATAGTTTGTTCCTCGCGTGATAAAAGAAAATCGTGCGAAAATTTGGTATGTCCAATACGAAGTCGACAGAGGATTACCTGTTGTTTTCTGGTTTTTGGTGGGTGTGTCCAGGGTTCAACGAATTACTTTATTTCGTTTAGCGAGTAGGATTTTATAAAGTTTGTTAGCAACAGAAAAATGTAGATAACTGAAATAATCCTATTTTTCTGAGGCATCCAAATGATCCATGAATAACAACATTTATTTTCAAATTTATCTACATTTATTTTTGCAGGACTATCTTTGAAAATAGAAAAACGTTCCAAGGCTGGTCAAGGCGTCCATGTTTGCCAAAGATGTGATAGGGTGTTTACTAGAACTGACAATCTAAAGAGGCACCAGAAGTACGTTTGCGGAGTTCCTCCACAATTCAAATGCAGTACCTGCTCCTATGTAACCAGACATAAATATGTTCTGGATACTCACATTCGATCCTGTCATTCTAAATCATGATAAAAAAAAATCAATAAATTTGTATAAATGACTTTGTCAATTATTTCTTACATATTTACTATCATATACTCACCAATTGGAGAACGGTCATGTGCCACAATAATTTCGCCTAATTTTGGTATTCGTTTAGAATGGAAATTACCAATTCGACTTCATTTTTGGTTCGTTCTGTAAAAAAATTAATATCTGAATATAAAAATCTATCAAAATTATTATTTTTGATACTGTAGTAACTTACTTCTCCCTTGTTTTCCTTCACCTGCTTTGAATGAATCTTTTCATAGCCTCTGGAAAAGTAAATCATTTATCGAAACCTCGATATCCCTAGTTTTTATTATGTGTTTACCAATCGATAGTAAAACCTAAGAATTTTGAAAAATACATATTGTTTCTAGTTTCTTTATCAATCACGATTTTTGTATATCGTATTTGTATTTGTATTATCGATAATAAGGAAGTTTTGTCTAAGAAACGCCATTTTCCCCAGTCTTTTATGTTTTTCTATTCCAAGTCATTCTTCTTTGAAACTTTCATGTTTTGTAATATTTTTCAATAGTCTTAGCTTATATTTGTTATCGATTGACTCCTTTGAGAAGTCGTAGGATATAAAGGTCATTGAAACAAAATGGAGGTGAGATAAATGACAATTTTAAGTACCTGATTCTTCATTTATTCAAATGATGGAGTGTAAATTTTTCTTCTGAGAAACAGCATGGGTACATAACGAAACGTAATTATTGATCACAGTGCTAGAAATCGCACGTTAAAAGGTGAGACCTTGTTAATCCTTGGCTCGCACAAGTTTCGGCTCCTGAGGGTTGTCGAAGAGGGCGACAGCTGGTTAACGGGAAAAAAATTAAAATATATATATATAACTAATTTTTGTTTATTTTCATTATTTTAAAATCACCATGTCACAAAAAAGGATCTGAAGCTTTATAACTTCTATTTATTATATGCGAGCGTTTCCGATAGCTTGCTGTGCTATCATCTTTTTGGCTCTACTCAAAATGAACGTTTTATCTTTTTGTTTGTTTTGCGGTTAGAACGCCTTAGTATAGCTACTGTAGGTAAATTTGCCTGTATTTGGGTTGCATCAGATAATATCCTTTGTGTTGGATTTTATCTAGGTTCACTGTTTCTAGGAATGTGTATTGTATTGAACATTTATTCAATTGTTCTAATTTTACTTGTATTTTATTTCACTATTATCTCATTTCAGGTTTATTTTGCTTAATATAATTGTTATTTTCAGCTATTCATTTTTATTTCTTCTTTTTTAGTTATTTCAGGGATTTCAAATCATTTTATATAGTAGACAATGGAAGTCCGAACTAGTGAAATTCATCATGAAACATTGTCAATCACCTTCAAATAAATTTATGTGATAATTGACAGAGGGGGCGGTTCTCAACTTGGTTGCTCTGCCATAACTTCATCAGAATTTAATCAACTCTATCTCTTACTGATCTGAAAATATTGCCATGCAGAGATTAGATCTACGGTTAATGAGAACTAAATCAAGGTAGGAAATCTGAGTCACATTAACCTTAGGGACCGGGCGTCCAGAATCTTGACACGAGCCAGGGCGCCTAGTCTCACAGACCCATTGTGAAAAAAATACTCATGAGTATTTCAGACTCGAAAAAATGATTTGATATCAAATAAACAGGCTTCATGCATATGAAAAGGTAAAATTTATTTCATAACGGGAAAACAAACTTAAATGAAATACATAACTACAAATTGAAAATAGGAACGTTCAGTACATACCGAAAAATAGGATATGAATGAAAAGAAGTTAGAAAATATTTTTTGGTGATAGATGACTAGTAATACTATTGAGTCACGACTTCTATAAGTTTTCCACACTGTCTGAACATGTGGGACACCTAGCTTGGAGGTGAGTGAGACACACACATTTTTTACATTTTTTACAGGTTGTACCTGAGGTACAACCAGAGTTCCAGCTACCTCTTGCCTCCTCTCCCTCACCGATGGTGGAATATTAATTTCCAAAGAACGTCGTTCCAAGTGGTCTTTGGGGAAATATCTCTCAGAAATAATTTCCTCTGAATATTGTATTTTTTATTATTAGATCCGTAAATAATTTGGCAATTAACACCTGCTATATTCATCATTACAAAAAATAACCATTGGCCATCTTCTGGTATTTCTGGATACATCAAAAGTTGCACTCAATTTATCCAGAGTGTCAACTCCACCCTTTGTGTGATTGTAATGAGTAATAATCTCTGGCTTACATTTCTCAGTTGTAGATGTATCGATTGCATCATCATAATGCAAACTGGATACCAAAATTACATTTTTATACTTTTTGGAAATGTAAGAAACTACTGTGATATTTTCTTCGAACCCATATAATGAAGATTATTGTGGTCGAGCTCTTGTATTTGTGAATTCCGGTGGTAACTTTCTTTTATTTTTTTTAACAGTTCCTACATATATTATTTTGTGATCATTCAATAATTTGTTGACTAAATCAATACTTATGAACCAATTATCACATGTTAGTTCGGGATATAGGATATTAGCCTGAGAATTATACTGTAGGGACTATTATCGCATTCATAAGGACCATGAGGCTGTTGTCTAACATAAACTTCAAGATTGGAGGCATAAGATGTTGAGAACCAACTAAGGCACAAATTCCATATCTATTAGGTTTGGTAGGAATATATTGCTTGAATGAACATCTTCCACGGAAAGCTTCGAGCTTTTCATCAATTGTAGCATTAAGTCCAATCGTATAAGCCTCTTTGCAGTTTTCAACGAAATAATCAAATAGGGTTCGTATTGGAGCCAGCTTATCTAACTGCCTCCTCTTTTCTCTCGTATCAATATTGTCAAAACGTATACATCTCAGCAAAAAGTGGAAGCGTTCACGAGACATAACCAACCAAAACCGCTCAACTCCAGTTTCATTCCTTTCCCATAATTCTTTGGTATTCAGTCGACTACTTTTGAGAGTTCCTGCCAAGTATAACAATCCTAATAGAGATTTGATCTCGCAGACATCAGTAGGTTTGGCTCTTCTTTCTTTAGAATAACTTTCAGCTATTTTTGACATATAGAGGTTCGTGTTATCCACTATTATCTGTATCATATCGTCCGTGAAATACAGAGACCAACATTCTGATGCCGATCTGGCTTTTTCACCATAGCTTTTTACTCCTGGTAAGCGAACGATGATATTTTTTCATCTATTTCTCACTGATTTATTTGGACAGTGTTTTTTCCACCTGCAGGTTCCATTTTTTTCCAATAAAAGTTGACACTCTTGAGACTTTATTAGGAGACACAACGTTTCCGATATGGCTTTTGTCATCACAGTCTTGCTCCGATTCGCTATCCGTAGTCCTTTCTTCAGTGACATCAATTTCATTCGCAAGTTCATCCTCATTATCATAAGGTTTTTCAAATATCTCGACTTCGTCCCACAGTCGACGTAGTCTTTCTTGCTCGTCTTCGTAACTCATATCTACAAAGATAAGAATAAAATATATTTGCCATTACGAAAATATCTACGATAAAGTCAGTAAAACTATCGAGATACAAATGTTCAAAATGTCTGATATAATATATTTAAATCATCAAGTTATATCATGAAAGATATCGGTAACCTATCAACTTACCCAAAAAAATGCTAATCAGTTAAAATGACAAAATACTAACGTCAGTCGAGGCGCTGGGTCTCACAGAATTATCGCTCAGTAATTTTAATAATTGATGAAGTGTAGTTTTACGCTAGTTGCACACACACCGATTTTGGACGGCCAGTATAAAATCGGCCGATATTTTATTGGTAGCGGGTGCTTGCACATTCACCGGATTTGTATCGGTCAAACAATCAGTTGCTTTTTTGTTGTAATTAGCACGCACTACTAAAACGAAGTTAATGCGTAGTAACTACAATTTCAACAAGCATTCGAGACTGGAATGGTCGGTAAAAAACCGGTGAGTATGCAAGAGTGTATTTAGTCATGTACGCCACTACTTCCCGGTACTGCCGGCGATACAGTGGCAGTGGACGGCTGCTCACCGGTATTTTACCGGCGTCGATCACCGGTCGGCGTGTGTGCCAGGTCCCGTTCCCACATGTGGTTCACTATTGGAATTTGGACGACCGGTACAAAGTCGGCCGTCCAAAATCGGTGTGTGTGCAACTAGCTTTACCGCTTGCTACACGGGTTCTGGATGAGAAATAATGAAGCTACTGATAACCCCCACTCTCACAAAATTTCCGCGCGAATTTGCACACCGGTTTTCTGCAGGTCAAGTCTCACAGACCCGGCACCCGGCCTGTAGGGTTAATAGTATTGGGATGTAATAATCGACAAGAAAGAAAAATATGTCAGGTTAAATGTATTGCATACAAAAATCGTTCGCATTGAAAGACTACATATTCAGAGTTTCATTTACATCAATGTCGTTTATTCACTGAACATGTTATAAAAATCTTCGCCTCTACTTTATAACAAAAGATATAATATCCTTATATTGTGAAAAAACGGCGGAAACTGCATAGAAAATGTATAGACGATTTTTCAGTCTAGTGTACGTTTTTTTTACGAATACCTGTGATGCACAAGCCGACTGTTTGAATTATTTTTCTCACATGATATATTACCTGGGAGTAGGATTTCATAACGTATTTCAGCAACAGACCGAAGAAAAATGTAGATAACTGAAATGATCCTATTTGTCTGAACCATCCAAATGATCTAACGCATAAATATTTTTTAAAAAACAACGTTCGTGTTATTTCCAGAAAATATTGCAGAACTAGTCATCTCAAGTGGTTGTTTGTAACTGATACCTATCCTGTACTCTGTAAATTATCACTTGGTAACATTTCTTTTTTTACAGATACGAAACCATCAAGCATTCAGCCTAAAATAAAGATTCTCAAAGTTGAAGATCTGAAAAATGACGATATAGTGGAAAGGATAAAAAAGGAACTTTCTCAGCAATGGAGCCTTTCAAAATCAGATTCTCTGAGTTCAATCCAGAGAAATAAAGTTTTCCATCAGCTGCCGATGGAAATTGACCAAGACTCATGTCACGTATCGAATGAACTTTCTAACAAGATTGTCAAACCTGATCCAGATGATCAGAAAAAAATTATCATATTTCCTGTCTGTGTTACTAAGCAAAGTCCTTCAAATTCTGTTCAGAAAAAGATTATTACATCTGACCCAAATACGAAGAGCTCTGAACCAGAACCTGAAGATCAGAAGAAGTTGAGGTGTTCTAAACTATCCGCAAAAAAGAAAATTTCAAAGTGTTCACATCGTGAAAAATTCAAAGTCGAATCCGAAGAGAAAAATGAAGTTGAAGGGTCTTTGAATGTTCAAATTGTTCGACAAAGAGAAGAATTTTTATTAGATGTGGAAAAGGAGAATTCAGTGAAGAGCACGAAGAAAAAACTACAATCCACTATATCAAAATCAGATTCTTCACATTCGGTATCTAAAAATTTGATTTCCGTCCAGTCACCAATGAAGGTTGAAAACAGTTCAGAGAAAGAGTCCAGATCCAATGAAATTCCTACCAGGATTGTAAAACCTGATCCTGATGAACAGAAAAGAAACCTTGTTTTTTCCGTACAGGACAAGCCAGTCGGCTCTGAGTTACATTCAAAAATAATCGAGAAAGAACTTGTAGATCAGAAGGATTCGAATTTTCTTGAGCAGAAGAACAGGCAAGATGGATCGCCTACTAAGGAGTTCAAATTGGAATCTGATGACGAAACGAAAGTTGAAGATCCAGTTAAACGTCAGACTTTCCGTAAGACGAAAGACAAAATCTCTATGGAGAGGATAAAACAATTTTTATCCATGGCACCAGAAAACGTAACTCCTAAAATTAAACCAAAAGCAAAGTGCCTTTCAGCTTGGAGAGACATAAAGAAACCTCTAGATACGATTAGATGCGTTCAATGTGATGTTCTGTACAAAAGGAGTGTTTTTCTGGCTCATTCAAAAGTCTGCAAAGGAAATAAATCTTCTAAGAAGTTCCGTTGCGCTTCATGCACGTTTACGCATACGGATTTAGAGACATTGAAAGATCATGTGAAATACAAACATCATGAATAAATCAATCAATGAATAGATGATAAGCGATTGATAAGCACGATAATAGAACAAATTGTATGAAATCATTTATCTGTGAATCATAAAAATTATTATTTCATCATTTGTTTTTTTTTCAGTTCTCGTATATCTCCAATGCATAACATTTCTGACCTTTGAAATATCCATAATTCATTATCAAATTTCCTATTATTATTATCAGTGTAAAATTGATTTAATGTATTTCAAAATTGGGTACCAAAGACTTACCAATCTGGAATAACCAAGGTTGTTGGTGAAAGAAGAAACTTTATATGGGAGAAGAAATAAATTGAAAAAACGGGATTTTTTATATTTATATCAATGAAGTTGTGGTTAAGAATTGGTGCATTATATGAACTTTGTTGGATCAAAAATGGAGTAACTCAAAAACTAAAAATGTTTTCACCCAAAGGAAGGGTATCAAAAATTTACAAATGGCTATTATTCGAAGAGTCGTTAAAATTAATTGAAAACAATTTCATATTCTTTTCAGACACCATTTCTCAGAGATTAATATATAAAACCAGCGTCATTATATAATTGTTAATTAGGACAAGTCGGTTGGTATTGTTCTTCACGTTGAACGCTATGCGATCTATATGGAGTTTGTTTTATATTAGTCGCTTTTCATGCGGTAAAATGATAGTATATTATTTTGAATTCATCAGTTCGGACTTCCATTGTCCAATATGCTATAAAATGATATGAACTCCCTGAAAGAACCACATCATTTGAAGATCTTGATCTGCCAATGTCCTCTCTGTCATAAAACAAAATGTAGGGTGTCTCCAGAGGCTCCAATAAATTCAATACATCGCCAGAATACTCCGTGACACGACTATCATCAAACTTAAACCAGTCCGTTTCGTTGTTGACCAAGGCGTAATAATGACCAAATTCAACGTCACAGAACCACAGAGAACAATGACTGCATGAATATTATAATAGTGGTCTGCTAGATTGAAGTGTTCATCTATTTTGAACCTTCGAAAAAGTTTGGTGCTTCCATCAGTCTTGTTTAAAAATCATCAGTGTTATTATTACATTGACTGGTGCCTCAGCTATACTTGTTTCCTTATAACAGTCAATTAATTTGGCGCATGTTTGGCAATACAGTCGATCATCACCTGTTAAAAATTCCATTTTCAGATGATTTAACAATAAGCTTTGCACGGACTGGTTATCAGTCATGTTAGGAAACGCTAGAAGTTCCAGAAATTCACATACATTTTTGCTACTTCTTGAACATTCACTACAAAGTAAGCAAGCAAAAGATTTACAAACACAAGACAAGATAGACTGTACGGAATCAATCAATCCAGAGCGGCCAGGAGTATTGATATTGCTATTGTTTTGCCCACGAAGAGTATTTATTCAACATGAACCCCAAGAATTCAGAACAATTCTCTGGTTGTCCTAACGAGTATCTAGTGGACTTCAAAGACTCCAGGAAATCGGTTGGAGGGAAATATTATACATTCTTACTGCAGATGCATGAACAGGCGTTTGAGTTTGGTGAATAAGTAGGAAACATTCTCGTTCTCGTTCATCATTACAACCTCCTTCTTGAAATTTTTCGTCATGAACAACACTTGTGAAATGCTATTCATGTAGCAAGTGTTTTCTAAATTATGTTCTCCAATTTTCTTCTCAAAATTTTCAGGCCAACTTTCTACTATTCGTAAGGAAGAACATGTTTCACATAATCTGCATAAGAACCATTTCTCAAGCTGCGGTCGATCTTTCCAAGTGAAGAAGGGTTTCGCATAGGGATCGATTCGGCTCTCTTCCACTGAAATGGAACCAGAACCACGAGGACTGCAACTCATATTTGAAGGTCAAAAAAAATCTGTTTAAAATCTGTTTTTCCGTTAATCAGCTGTCGCCCCTTAAGAACGACAACTCTCAGAAGTTGAGAAACTTGTGCGAGCTAAGGACTAACGAGGTCTTACCTTTTCACGTGTGATTTCTAACAAGAATGACCTAAGTC